ATTCACAGTTCGTTGATACTCTCAGTTGGTGCTCCAGTGAGCTGTTACCGCACAGACTGTAGTCTACCGCACACTCATACGCCTGGTGAGAAACAGTGCACATAGAAATCAACCACCACTGAGCAGATCAGATTGTTTGCATGCACATGAGGTCGTGGTGCCAGCACGAATTTCACCAACCATTAGAGGTTACAGCATCATCAAAGCAATTAACTTGACCCATCCCGATTGGCCTGAACAGACTCCGCCAATCGACGAGCAGGCGTGAGCGCTTATACACACGCACGCGAATACACCTATCCATCTCCACCCCCTTACACACACATAGACCACCCACGTGATCAAGCAGATGGTGATGTGCGTCAAAAGGCCAAATCACGTGTACAACCGGAAAATCGATTTTTTTAGGATCGGGGCGATTGACCGAGTTGGATTTTCATGTAAGACGACTGCTCAATGGCCGGGATAATATGCTACGGAATAGAAATGAACATCCAATGAATAATCCACACTTCCGAATTTTGATGAACACGTTCAGACAATCCCGCAGACAGCTTGAAGAGCTTTCTGTATGAATCGATCAGCATAGTTTTCTCGACGCCACTTGTGTATCGATTGGCAAGTACACTTCACAAATGGATGTTTTATACACACGAAGTGGGTGGAATAAAATGTCTCATTAGATGGGAGACAAGGCGAGAGAAAGAGCCAGCGAAAGAGTCGTTTGCTGAAATCCAATAAGTGTAAGTTATGGCAAGAAGCGGCGGGAGATTCCTCTAGTTGTTGGAACGGAATCCATCACACACACACGCACGGAGAAAAGAAAGCACCAGCTAGGAAGATGCGAAGCACTATATTTATTTTTTAATCCAGCGGTAATGCAACTTCCTCAACCCGACCGAGATTCAAACCCAAAAGGTTTCCTGAACTTCCAGTCCTTGTGTATTTTTTAATCTACATACTACTGATTTCAGTTAATAAGCAACTAAAACTTTCACTTTCGTTTAAATGAGAACTTGTCCATCCGTGAGATTTATGATTGCGATCTCACAGAACGCATTATGTATATCAAACATTTAATGGATAAGTTCAAATGACAATGAATCATACTGATATTTCCAGCCATTCGGTTTTGGAATGGATAGATTCATTTTGGCAAAAATATGAAAGGTATCCTAAAAAACGAGACACCCTTTAGCGCTGTAGTTCACACGAAGCGGCCCAGTCAGTACAACAGTGTGTATGCGATCGTGTGAAACAGATGAAGTTCAATGTTTAACGGGGTTTGAAAACAGCAGATAAGACGTGAAGCCAGAAAGAACAACCCTCAGCAGAAAACTTTGTCATGAGAACACAAAATAGCAAACAAGCTCGTTTTCGGTGCTACATCAACTGGCTAAATACAGTACAATTTACAATAGGTTAAACGGGCGGGGAGAGGAGATAATTATCTGCGAAGGAAACCCGAGTTTAAAGAGAGATGATGGACTTGGGATAATTGATGCTTGTTTATTCTAGTATAAATTAGGCTGTATTTAGCCAGTAGATGTAGCACCGAAAACGAGCTTGTTTGCTATCTTTTGTTCTCATGACTAGTCAAACTGGAATAATTTCACAAACTTTGTCCCGACGAAAATAACGATGACTCGAAGGAGGCTTAAAAGTGTCGACGATGGAAGAGCAGCAGCAGCGACGGAAGGCAGACAGTTTTGTATGACGATTCTTAATCATACCCTTATAGATTATGTATATAAAAAAGTAGTACAATGGGCTCTCTCCCCTCCCATTTAATTACCCTACTTTTGATCCCCAGATTCACACACAGTTCTATGATACCCCTCATGTAAGTCTCCCTATTCGGACCAACGACCGTTAAACTAACCAGTAGTGCAAGTGTCTGGACTAAATTGAAACACACTTGCTACCATATCAACTGACTTAACATGAGCTTACTTCATAAAGTATTATATCCCGTTAGATATAAGACCTTCCTGTCCGTCAATAAGAGTTCATATTTAGGTGTAATCCTGTTCAAAGCATGCTAAATATTTGTGTGGCTAAGATGACCACACATGATTAATTAACTGATTCGATCACCGCTCGATTCTGACTATACGGTTTACGATTTCTTCATGGGCCCTTTCACCGGTAGCTAAACTGATATCCATCGCGGTTTTATCCTTAGCCAACTAGCAATAAATCGTCATCCCGGTGACCACAATGGAGCTGGTTCGAGCCGGTTACTCATGTGATGCTACCACGTGTGTTCCAAAAAAAACCCTCACGAACGAAGTCACGAAGTGATGTGCACCTGGGGACAGGTGCGCATGTTGTGTTGTGTAAAGAACTGCTATTTATTTGTCACTATTTACTTGTATGACGTACAACAGTTGGACTGCGCAAAATTGGAAAAATAAAAAAAATGCATATATAACTCACTCGGAATTCGAGGCCGACGTTGGAGAGATTTGTGCGTCTGGCTCCGTCCTTCTCACCACCAATAACAACAATTCCGGAGTCGTTGTGCTGCTCCAAGGCTGCTCGGTAGTCAATTCGGTTGTCGACGTAATGATTTTGCGCAATTTAGATATGTCGGCTAGTTTCACACGCAATCAAGTACACGCAGAATTACTGGTACACACACACACACAGGCACACAAAAACATACTCATACGCGTGAATCGTGCAGCACCGAACGCACTCGCACGCACGCACGCACGTACGCACGCAACGCACGCACTCAAGATCACACGTGTGTACTTTAGTCAACAGTCGTTTTCGGTGAAGTTAAACCGAGCACACACACACACACAGATGCACATGTGCACAGGTACATGAGCACAGGTGCACGAACCCACACACGCGCACACACACACACACACACACACAGAAAGGGATTCGCATGCCACCAAGCAAAAAAACCGCTTTCCCGATCTGCTCATGTTTCATGCAGTTAACTTTGTCACATGCCATACACAATAAAATAGAACTGACCACCGTTACATGCATGCTCAGGGTGGGTGAATGGGTGGGTGGTCGATCGAAAAGATGCATGTGAGCATAGTAAGTTGACAACTAGAGGGAAACAGGAAGGGGTTCGGACACAACGATGGTCAGCGCGACAGACAAATGTTTACTTTGCTCAAATTCCATCCCCCCCCCCCGGGAGAGGGGTAGCAAGTTGGCACAATTCTGTTTTCGCACGGACACACGACGACCAGTATGTGTCAGGTGTTTGGATGGGATAAAATTTATCGTCGATATTTGGGATACCCGCTGTGCCTCGACGACCAACCGAGAATAAAGTTTTGATCATGTCGATAACGGGACTGATCAGAATGTTGATGTTGATGATAACGGTATCCATGATGATAATGATGATGATGATGATGATGATAAAGATGATGATCACGATCATAGGGAAACTCACTTGCTATGCGTGCACCACACGGTAACCCATCGTTCCTGCAATCGAATACGAAAGAATCGAAATTTTATAAACGTAACCGGAGAAACAAAGTAGTGGTTTCCTGGAAACCTGCACCTTGTGACATCTTTGCATACGTATACTTCTCAGTGTGTTTTTGCGTGTGTGACGTCATAGTAACCAAAACATATAGATTACAAAGGGTAAATTCGTCGTTTATATGGCAAATGAAGTGTGAACTGAAAAGCTAGGAAGCGATGGACAGCTGTTCCGACCTGGTTGGGTCTCACCAACAATGCGAATCCATTGACCCAACTGGGGATGGAACCCGCGGCTCACAAGTGGAACGCAAGCATGCTACCCACTCGGCCACCGGGCAGCAGATCAGACATAGATTCATTGGACTTGGTTTCGGTGACTACTAAGCTAATCGATATTTTTTCCCCTCATTAGGCTTGAATGTGATGCATTCTGTCTGTGAAGTCAATCCGATGTCCATTGCTTCGCCATAGTGTGAAAGGTTTGATTTTGTCTGAGTTGAACGAACACCTTATCTGTCAGAACATGTGTCAGTAGTTTTTATCTTACATCATTTGTAAACCATCCTTCTCTCCAACACTATCAACGCAGGCCGAAGAGGGATGTTGCGTAGTTTCAAGCGCATGTTAGTTCGGTTAACAGTCTACAATGTTCCTTTGAGGCACCCACTTCTATGGTGGATAGATTTTGAACAGGGTTGAACTAAAACATCAGGAACATTGACCGTCCGATCACGAAAACTGTCCTGTAACTTGGACCTGTGAGTGGTCTAGAATAGACATCGTTACCAGTCGGGAGACAGTGAATGTTGCGTATCGGTTGCAGGGTTCGAATCCAAGGTATTACCAACCAGTATTCTCAAGAGACAACCAATGAGACTTTTGAAGCAAGTCAAGCCTTTAGTAATTCCGGAATATTGTTCAATAAAAGTAGCACTCCTGCCAGAGTAGGTGCCTTGCTGATGACTAACTGTCGACTGTTCAGCTAAACAGCACATATTGTCTCACCAGTCCAAATTGTTCACTTCATGTCGCCTCACGTGCATTTGCAATGAACATTCCATTGAACGAGACCAAGGTCAAAAGGGGATTGTAAAATCACTGCCCGGTTTCACTCTACAAAGCCACATGGTTCGAAATATCTGCAGCGCAATTCCACAATATCTAGTCAGCCGTAGACGCAGACGATCCGAATTATACAATTGTGAACTGTGCAAATAGCGTAACCCAGGGCAACCATAGGCGACCACAAACAAGTGATACATGGCTGTTGTTCCGTGTATACGATGAGTTCAACATTTCGCGAGTCTGCTTGAACAATAATACATAAACACACCGATTTGTTGTCAGAAGCTCTTGTTTGCTCCACCGATTCTGTTCAAAACTGATTTGCATTGTAGTTTTAATTGAATGTTTTCTCGGTAAGCTTGACTCAGACTGATGATCGTCAATTTTCTCCCTTCATGATTCATACAGACACCGTGGGGAATGATTATAGTGCGGTGTTGTGACTCATGCGGGTTACCATGACCTGTGTA